GAGTTAATATATCTTAGGAAGTGTGAAAGAGAAATCTAATGAAGACGGCTAGTAGCAGGAGAATAGACACGAAGTAATTTGGGGTAGACAAGTATGTGGGAAGACAGTAGAGTAAATAAAACTAACACATATATGTATTTAGAAAAATAAGGGATGTTAAAAATAGTAAAAAAATGGGGGGGGGAACTAAAGAAGAAATAATAAAAAATAAATAAAAGGCATATAGAACACCACTACATTACATTATTCAGATGTCCCAGTCCTCAAAAATCCTAATTCATGAAAAGTTCTTGGTTTCACATATGTTGGGGATGTGAGGGGGAGGATAGAGGGAGAGAAGAAAAAGAGAAAAAAAATTCTTGAAGGAAGAAACCATGATTGTTGCTAGTTTTAGAGATTCGTATCTTTCCTGCTTCTGTTCTCATCCAATAGGTGCCATCTGTCGTTAGCTGGTATCTCTGTGCTCAGGATGGTGAAGGTAACCAGGGCCGGTACTTGGTCCAGGGTACTTGGAAGCAAGGAGTGGTACCCACCTGTCCCTGAAGGGAGACTGCACCTTAAGAGTCTTTTTTAGGGATTGCTCGTATGACTTGAGCGCCCAGTTCTATCTCCTGATCTTGCCTGAAGATTTTCTAGTTCCTGTTTTCTTTGTTAGTCTCCAAACTTTTGTCCCATCTCCCTCTTCCTTAGTGGTTCCCAATTGAGGGACTTCTCTCCTCAGGACTCCCAGAGGCAGTGCCCTGGTCATAGTGTGCACCTGTTCCACTGAGTGCTGTTTTGTGTTGGGAAGCTACTGTGCTGGGTTATCGCCGCTGGGGAAAGGGGGGAGTCAGAAACGTGGTACCTGGCCAGCTGAAGTTTTCATCTGGGAGCTGCCCCCACCAAACATGGCGAGGAAGGTGTGCCAAGATAGAGGCAGCCCGTTTCCAGTGCTGGGGGTTGAGTGGGGTCGGGGGAGCCACGCGATGTCATTGTGCTGAGGGTAGGTAGCAGCTGAGTGTCCTGTGTGGGAGTGAAGAGATGTCTGGGAGTTCTGCAGTGATGCTGATAGGTGATCCTGCTAAGGTGCTCAGAAGCCCTGCATTGGCTAGCACTTCAGGGGTTGGGTGTCGGGAGCCAGGAGTCCTGCTGGAATACTGAGGCCAGGAGCCCTATGCGGGGGCACAGTGCTGGTGATTTCTGCCTAAGAGCAGCTGCATAGGGGTCCTCTAACACTCTCAAAGATTCAGTATTCCCACTAGGCGAGATCTGGGTCATGGAGAGACACAGAATGCTGTCTCCCGCTGGCCCATTATCTTGAATTCCCAGTACACTAGATTTTATCGGTGGTTTTTATATGTCTATTGAGACCATCATCAAGTTTTTGTCCTTTGTTCTTTAAATTTGGCATACCACACTTGTTAATTTGCATGTGTATAACCATCATTGCATCTTTGGGATAAATCTTGCTTAATAATAGTGAGTAATTTTCATGTCCTGTTCAATTTAGTATGCTAGCATTTTGTTAAGAAACTTTGCATCTATGTTCATCATAATTTTATTTTCTTGCAATTCCCTTGTGTGTCTCAGGTACCTCTTCTGGAGTGACTGGCTTGTGTTTAGGTGTCATGGGATTCTGCCTGACTCTGAGCCTCATCATGGAAAGACTGACCTCAAGTTTCTATGAAGTAGTAACTTTGTACATACCTCCCTTTTCTTACTCAAGTGTAAAATTCTCTCTGTGTTATTCTTCCTAAGGTTGGGAGAGGTATTAAATGGGCAGTCTCATGTCCACAATTCTGAGTCATACCCGAAGCCCACAGTATGCTAAATCCAATCCATCACCAAAGCAAGATCAAGATCCATGCTGCTGGGTCTTGCCTGCTGCTATGTTTCACTCATGGCCTGAGACCATTGCAACTAGCATAGGGTGAAGCTGGCCAGAACAGTAATCTGTCCAACAGGGGCTCTGAATTTTCACTTAGCATCCGGAGTGTACAAAGCCTCCATTCATGGTCACTGGCTTGGGGATAGGGTCACTAAATCTGCCTTACCAGTCTGACACTGAGTTTCAAGGAAAAATACTGTGTTTACTTCCCTGTTATACAGCTCCTCCCCCACTGCCACCAGTGGAAAGAGTATTGCTTTGCACTATTCTGCCTAAGTATAAGGGAGAGGTAGTGGGGGGCCATCCCTGAGCTGCCTGGCTAAATCACGTCCAGAGGCTTGATCTGCAGGCCCTGTTTCAGGTTGGATGCATGGGCTTGCGTTTCACTGTGGCATGCCTGTATTGGTATTTGCATTTAAGGCCCAGACTTAATGTCCTTTCTCTTCTTCAACCAGGAGACATCGCTTTCCACCTAGTAGGGTTGTAGTTGAAGGGAGAAGTGATGCATTTTTCCATGTATTTTTTCTAATTATTATGTTAGAATGAGGTACTGTGCTCTAGTGAAAGTAGTTTGGTGTATGAACAGCTGTTCAAATTGGTAATTTTGTTGGGAAAATACCCCTGGAGAGTCATACTCAGCCAGTGTCTTGCTCTTCCTCCACAGTATCTTTTCATGCACATTGGTACAGTGGATTCCTGGGATTAGAACTGCTAAGTCAAATTATATGATGTTTATTCTTTTTAAAAAAATAGCATAATTATGTTTTATTTATCTAAATAAACAAATAAGATTATATACATTCATCAGGTGTACCATGATGATTTAAAATATGTGCACATTATGCAATGGTTAAATCAAGTTAAGTGATATATACCTTTTCTCACAGTATTGTAATTTTTGTTTTTTGGTCTTTGCTCAGAGAAAACTTCTTGTGCTATTCTAAAGGACTTTTTCTTCCATGCCTCATTTACCCCACACATGCTGTCTCCACCTGTCTGAGGTATGCTTTTCTCTTCTAGTCCTGTCTACCCAGTTTATTATTTGACCTAATTCTTCTTACAGGTGTCACCATCTGGCCCTCACAGTAACAATTTAGAAGAATTTATCAACTTTTTTTTGTTCTGTCACTTTTCCTAATATAATTGTTAAAGCATTATTTATGCTTATTTGACATTCCAAATTTTTAGTGTCTAGCATATTCTCAGACACCTATTAAAATAAGTCTCAATTTAAATCTTTCCAAAGACAAAGTTACAAATTATCAGAATACAAAAGGAGCAGTAATTATATACTAACAATAAGAATAACTTCCTAGGCATTTCAGTATGGAAAGCTCAGTAAATGTGTGTTGGTTGAGAGAATTATACTGATTAAAGCAGAAGATATTAGATTTTATGAAAAATAAGATCCCTTAAAATTTGAAATTAAAAGATAAGATAAAAATTATTTCATTTATTAAATAAAAATTGACTGATAAGCTCTGAGATAATATCTAGACCATAAATCCTTTGACCAATTATGGTACTGTGATCACACAAATTGCCAAGCACAATATTCCACTCTGTTACTATCTTTCAGAATGAAGCTTCTAAGCAAACATGTGATCAGGTCATTTCTATAGGGCAAGTCTGACTATAGGGCAAACTGGTTAATCACATGCACAAAACCCCTTGCAGAATATTATTAAGCTAGCTAATCCGGTGAAGATATCATTCCTGAGCTTTATTTCTTGACATATATTCCTGATTTTAATGTGGCTCTCTGACCATCTTTGTTTTTGTTCATGATATAGTCTCTCTTAGATATCTTTTCTGACCATTAACACTTATTGATATTGTATATCCTACTAATGAATCAATTTCACTTCAGTAGAGACATCTACATAAAGTATTTTGATCTTCAAATAAACTCTTGCCTTGACTTTTGATCTACAGGGTGTTTTTTAAACTTATCTAAAAACAGTCCCTTTAATTGAATTTTTAAAATGGATATCCCTGCATTTATGATTTCTTATAAGTGGGTTCCCATATCTTTTGAGAAAAGCATTGAGTTTTGCTCATCTTGTGGGTGTGGGCAAAGTCATTTAATGGTTATAGAATCAAATAAGCTGAGAAATGGAGCAATGGAAGGAAAACATGAAGATGTCAGAACCATGTTGTCCATTAAAATGTTCAAATACTTTTAAAAATGTCAGAAATCAGGGCTGGGGATGTGGCTCAAGCAGTAGTGCGCTTGCCTGGCATGCGTGCGGCCCGGGTTCGATCCTCAGCACCACATACAAACAAAGATGTTGTGTCTG